AGGCAGAGGCAGGCGGATGTCTGTGAGTTCGAGGCCAGCCTGGTCCACAGGGCGAGTTCCAGGTCAGTCAGGGCTGTTACACAGAGAAAACCAAGAGGGGGGGAAAGCCAGAAAGTTCCCCAAGCCAAAGGGGCGCAGGCGAGGGGCGTGGTCTATGCAGAGGAGGTGCAGAAAAGGGCCGGGCAGGTTGTCACCACCTTCCCGAGGTGGGGGGCGCACTGGTTGGCTGGGGACAGGGACGTCATCCTCGACGTCACGGACGTAGGCGCGATCTATGCAGATGAGGGGCGCGCAGGGGCTGCCGGTCCGCACCCGCTGCGGAAACGCGAGGGATTTGGCGCGGCGTGGGAGGGAGCGCGGGTCCGCGGGTGACAGCGGAGCGCAGGAACCGGGCGCGGGTCCGGGGAGGCCCGCGATCGCTGGCGGCGAAGCGACCGTGTGTTGAGAGCGCAGGTCCGGGGTGTCTGAGCGGTGTGTGGTGGGGGAGGCGAGCATACTTACCTGGCAGGGGAGACACCATGATCAAGCAGGTGGTTTTCCCAGGGCGAGGCTCAGCCATTGCACTCGGGGTGTGTTGACCCCTGCGATTTCCCCAAATGCGGGAAACTCGACTGCGGAATTTGTGGTAGTGGGGACTGCGTCCGCGCTCTCCCCTGGCATTCGTGTGCAAAAGTAAGACTGTTAACTCCTGCCCCAACTGTTTCTTTCCTCCAAACTAGTAACTAGTCTCCACCCTAGATTCTTGAGTGAGGTGTTCTCCCCTTTTTTGTTAGTGTCAGGATCTGTGTTAACACGACTGAGCTCTATTCCCCGAGATTGGTCCTCGTTGAGGTTGAGGCCAGCCTGCGCTAAGTGAGACCCTGTCTCAAGTGACGGGACAGGTACTTCTGCCCTCCCCCACCCCAAATGCCTCCCGCCCTCCAGTGTTTTCACTCTTTTCCTTGCTAGATTGACCTTGACTCTGCTTTAAAAGGTCAATGATTACTGAATCCTGAAGTTAAGAATTCGTTCTTTCAGACCTCGAACCCAGAAGAAAATGCTCTTCAAATCTAAGGATGCTCAACACGCCCCCACTTCCACCGCCGGAATAAACAGAATTGCAGTTAGCTCCTGGACTGCACAGACACCTCATCCGGAGGCCTTCCCTCCCCGAAGTCAGGCCAGGGTCCCCAACCTGCAGTTTGTCCCCTGAGACAAAAGAACCGGGAGCACCTCCTCCTCAGAGCGCACAGATCTCGGCTGAGGCAGCAAATCCAGGTCCCCAAGACTATAAAGTGAGAGTACGTTCCTTCTGCGTCTTCACAGCTTGTTCCCGCGCCGTTCTGTCCATGGCACCCGCCTCTCCTGCCTCTCCTTCACTTTGTGCTCTCTCCTAACTCTCCTGCCTCTCCTTCACTTTGGGCTAGCTCTCTCCTAACTCTCCTGCCTCTCCTTCACTTTGGGCTAGCTCTCTCCTAACTCTCCTGCCTGTCCTTCACTTTGGGCTAGCTCTCTCCTAACTCTCCTGCCTCTCCTTCACTTTGGGCTAGCTCTCTCCTAACTCTCCTGTCTGCTCTCCCAGCTCAAGCAGCTCAAGGCTGGATCGCGCCCCGTGGGCTCCGGATCCTCCCTCCTAAGAACGCTCATTCTGGGTGTGGGGGCGGGAGGGGGGACCGGCCTGGGCTGGCTTCCTTCCCCACAAACCAACTGAACCTGCCTTCCAGTTCCACGTGATAACAATTCCCTCGGGCCTTTTCTGTAGAGATACCAAAACAAAACGACCCCACCGATGTCCATCTGTTAATAAAAGCCTTTTCTGAACGTAAGGTGCTAAAAAGAAACATCTTGCCGTATTTATGCTTTTCCTGGTTTGTTCCAACGGTATTCAGGAAGTGGGTATACTTTTGCAGAAGGAGAGAACTTTAGAACAAATTACAATCTATAACTGAAGGGGTCTCCCGCAGAGCGGGGCAGGACCTATATTAGACACCAACACCTCGTTTTCACAGAGAGACCCTTTATTAATCGGGGAAGAAAAGTGTCTGATTTCTGACTCAGGCACAAAACGGCAGCAAACGACCTTGCAGGTGTACTTTTTAAGAGGAGGAAAAGGGGAAGTCTGTGTTAGAATGGGCTAGGATGGGGTGGTGAAGGAGATGAGGGGGGAGGGGAAGGGAACAAGGGAGAGGGAGTATTTGTGTAGGAGGACAAAGGACTGCCTCTGGATAGAGAGGAGACAGATGTGGCCTATAGGAAATGGGCGGTTTATAAAGGTAAAGCGGAGACCCCATGTTAGGATGAGGTGTTTAATTGTAATTGGGCATTTAAATTGATGGCTGGACTTCAATACATTGATAGCTGGACCTTGGTAGTCAGCCTCAGGAGGGGGAAGTGGTCGAATAAGGGACTAGACCGTGGTGGCTAGCTTTAGGAATGTAATCTAAAGGTTTTCAGCAAGGCAGAGGGAATGGGGAGAAGGGCAAGGCCTGCCATAGCCACATGCTGGAGTGGGCCAGTGTCCCTTCAATAACAGTAGTGTCAAGTGTTCGAAACATGGATGGCTTGTTATGGTCTCTGTATATTTCATGTGTGTGTGGGGTTTTTTTTTAATATTTTAAAGATTTATTTTTAATTCTCTTGTGTCTGTGTGTAGGAGATACAGGTGTTCTCAGAGGTCAGATCCTCCCAGAGCTGATGTTACAGACACTTGTGAGCCTTTAGACGAGGGTCCTGACCATTGAGCCATCTCTCTAGATCTTTCCCGTTTTAAATTCAAAACGTTGATGACCTGTCATGGAGAGAACAGGATGTGGAGGGATGTGGAGCAAGTGAGAGTAAAGTATGAGAGGAAGAAAAAAAAAACTAGATTTAGAAAGTGTTGAGATGGATAGTTGGTCCTCACACTGGGGAGGCATAGGCAAGGATCTCTGTGAGTTCGAGACCAGTCTGATCTATACAACTGGTTCCAGGTCAGTCAGGGTTACACAAAGAAATCCTGTCTAAATAAACAAACAAACAAATAAATAAATAAATGTAGTTGGAAGGTTTCTCTGGTCCCAACCGGCCCTGCGGTCCTGTAGTCACTTATAAAATAATCACGCAGAGGCTTAATATTATTTCTAGTTCTTATATCTTAAATTAAACCATTTCTATTAATCTTTGTTTTGCCACGTGTTCCATGGCTTACCTGTCTGCTGGCATGTTGTTCCCTGGGCAGCAGGCTGGCCTCTCTCCAGACTCCGCCTTTCTCTTTCCTGTCTCTCTCCTTGGATTTCCCACCTGCCTTTAAGCTGCCTTGCCATAGGCCAAAGCAGTTTATTTATTAACCAGTGGGAACAATATATATTCACAGGGTACAGAAAGATATCCCCCCAGCAAATAAATAAATAAACAAATAAATAAATATGAAACAAAAAGATACCTATTTAGGGGTTGGCATGATGGTTTCTCGGCAGCTCCCAAATGTGTGCATGCACACACACTGAAGATAAACAAATGAAAATGTAAAAGTTTTTTGTTTAGGTCTTATTTTTTGTAGTTGTTTTTGAGACAGGATCTCATTATGTAGCCCTAGTTGACCTGGAACTCTAGGTAAATCAAGCTGGCCTAACTTAGGGTGATCCATCCACACTACCTCTGCCTCCCCAAGACTGGGGTTGAAAGTATGTGGCACCATGAAGAGCACAAGAAGGATTTTTGTTCTGTTTTAAGATGGCTGGTTTGGAGGCAGGTGTTAGATAATGATTATGTAGAGGCCAGCAGGTCATGAGGACATTTGGGTGAGCTTAGGCTTGTCACATGATCTCTCTTCTGGTTTTAAACAGGTACACAGTCGAATTTCTTTGCAGAGGCACAGTGATTCTGAGCCATGCCACCTCGGTTTCAAGTTCCACGTTCAGATGCCGTGTCCGTAGATGTGGTTGTCTCTGTCCTGGTTTTCCCACACTCCCCTTCTCCCAAGCATCTGTGCTCACCAAAGCCCTCTGCTAAGCATGGGCTTCTCCTGAGACAGCCAAACTCTGCCATCTGTCTGCCATTGCTTCTCTCGGTACTTGGGACAGAATCCATGCTGCCGGCTTCAGTCAGAAAGAGCCATTACTTCCCTTATCTGCTCTTTTACAGCCAACTACCCTCCAGCAGCAACAGGAGCATCTGGTTCCCTATTACCGTATACCCAGAACACTTACAATCCCCACACTAGCTCCCAGGCTCTCTGTCCTGTTCACACATACCTGTGAAAGACCCCCGAAGGTAGTCTTCCCTCTGGAGAGACCGTCGCCCAGAGATCACACCGAGACCACAAGTCAGATGCAAACAGCAAGAGGCTTTATTCCGGAACACGGGTACCCGGGGCGACACAGTCACTCCAGAAGCTCAGGAGGCTGGCGCGCCCACGGGCTGGAGTGGAGGGTTTTTATAGGGTCGGGCAGCAGAAGGGCGGGTACAGAAGCAAGAAGCATGGTTTACAGGGTTCTGATTGGACGATTCATATGAGGCCATGGTTTACAGGGTTCTGATTGGACGATTCATATGAGGCCATGGTTTACAGGGTTCTGATTGGACGATGCATATGAGGCCAGGTTCAAACTCAGGACAGCTCGTGGTTTTTCCCCCGAGCTCGACACGCCTGCTGACTTGGCTCTTATCTAGGGTACAAGTTGTTTTTCTGACCTTTTAGTTCCCTGTTCTGAGGCCAGGTGGCCGACCACAGATACCCTGTTTGTTCCTGTGCCCATGTCCTCTAACTGAACTTTCCCCGTACTTTTCAGGCCTTGCTCAAAATGGCGTTAGGCTAAGCAAGTATGCTGGGGCCTTTCATTCCCCCATTTTCTTATCTCAGGGAATGGAATCCTCCATTCATGGGGAAGAATAGGGACGTGGCTCCATTTCCACCCGGTTGAGTCGTTGGTATTGTTGGGTCAATACCAAGGTCTGAACAGTAGAAACGCGTTCCCTGATAAATTGGACAAGTCTGTTTAGGATACAGGGCCTGAGCGTCAGAAGGAGCAATACTGGGCCTGGGTGGCTGGAGGGTGACTGGGGTTACAGTAGCATTCGGAGCCGTGCTTGGGCGAATGGCCGAATTGGGTCGGGGGGTAGCCCTCGGGGGTGCCGGAGCGGGTAAAGAGGGGCGCTTTTGGTCAGAGAGAACCTGGTTGGGACCTATAGAGGCGGAGGGCTCCGTGATTTTAAGCCTAATCGTAAACACGACTCCCTGGTCCCGTCCCGTCATGTAAAGTCTAAGTCCCCATGTTTTACCTTTAATCCAGTCTTGTGTTATCTCCCTTCCCTTTTGAGTTTACACAGCCCCCCCCCCCCTTCCAGTAAGTGTCATCTCTTCCTGACGTGACAGGGCTGCTCTGGTTTCAGGGTGACTACATCCGTATCTCCCGCCACTACATTTGCAAGTTCTCTTACCATCCTGACAGACGTTTGGTGCTCTAGGGTTCATGGGGTCAGTGGTAGGGATGTCCCAGTCCTCTGACCCTGCTACTAGTTGGCAGAGATCTGGATGCAAGTTAGGCCACCATGTAAAGGGGGTGTGAAGGGCGGTCGTTTGCCAGACCGTCTTCCCAGTTTGTGAGATAACCTGCCAAGTGAGCCTCTTAACTAGGTGCGGGCTCTCTGCCGCCCTAGTCCCCTGGGGGTAGGCAGAGATTAAGAGGAGGGGGAGGAAGGGGAGCCGCGGGCCAACCTTGTGCGGCGCACTGTCCATATTGACTTTCTGGATCCTGCTGGGTCGGGTTCCCTGGCAGCCTTCACATGAGAGACGTGGACCCATGCAGCAATCCCGTCGACCTTGAGTGCAGTGGGGGTGGTCAGCAAGACAGTGTAGGGCCCCTTCCACCGTGGTTCCAGATTCTTGGTCTGGTGTCGTCGGACCCAAACGGAGTCCCCGATCTGGAAGGGGTGGGGCACCACCGGCTTGTCTAGCTGCTCCTGATAAGCCTTGGCCAGGGGCTTCCAGATCTCCCTCTGCACCAGTTGGAGGGCTTGAAGATGTGCCTCTAAAGTAGGGGTGGTGGCAAAAGATGAAATATCAGGATGGAGAAAGTCTACAACAGGAGGTGGGGCCCCGTACATGATCTCAAAAGGGGTTAGGCCGTGTGGGCCAGGAGTATTTCGGGCTCGGTAGAGAGCCAAGGGAAGTAGGAGCACCCAATCTCTAGTGCCAGTTGCAAGCGTTAATTTGGTTAAAGTCTCCTTGATTGTTCTATTAGCTCGTTCTACCTGTCCTGAGCTCTGGGGGCGGTACGCACAATGGAGTTTCCAATCAACCCCCAATAGTTTGGCCACCTTCTGACTTACCTGAGAGACGAAGGCAGGCCCGTTATCCGACCCCAATATTTGAGGCATCCCGTACCTGGGGAAGATTTCTTCCAACAGTTTCTTAGATGAACCTTTCCTGCGTTGACTTGAGCACAGGCTGGGCAGGTAGAAGTTACCTGCTGGAGTACCTGATCCTGGTTCAGCGGCACTGCCCAGGTGTTTTCTCTGTTCCCAGTCCGCCCCCATTTTCTTTGCTAGCTCCGATCAGGGCGGGTGCCATGTGCTTCGGCTAGAATCTGGAGGCAGTCATGCTCCTTGGAGGGGCTAGGCAGTGGCAGCAAGGTAGCAGGGTTAAGGGAAACTGTCGGCCCAAAATTTACCCGGTCTGAGTCCAGTAGTAAGGCCTGATAGTAAGTCATTCTGGCGTTAGAAAGCCATCTGTCCGGTGGTTGTCGGACCAAGGCCTCCACTGCATGGGAGGCCAGCACAGTCAACGGCTGTCCCAGAGTCAGCTTCCCGGCATCCTTGAGTAATATGGCAATGGCTGCCACCATGCAGAGGCATGATGGCCATCCTGTAGCCACCAGGTCCAATTTCTTGGACAAGTACGCTACAGGTCTCCTCCAAGGTCCCAGTCTTTGTACCAGTACCCCTTTGGCAAAACCTGAGTTCTCATCCACAAACAGCTCAAAGGGCTTGGTTAGATCTGGCAGACCCAGAGCCGGGGCCTCGAGTAAGGCCTTCTTGATCTGTTGGAGCGCTTTCTGATGCTTCTCCTCCCATTGGAACATGGCCCCTGGTCTTGGGGCACTCTCGGGCCTAGTGTCCCTTCTCCTTGCAGTAAGCACATTGATCTTTATCAAGGGGTGGCCTCCTTCGCTCTCCCGACCTATCTCCCTCTCTCCGCTGTCCCTGAGACACAACGGCGGCCAAAACCTTTTTCATCTCCCTATGCTGTTTCTTGTCCCTTTCCTCTTGTTTCTGCCATCTCCTTTCCTCACGCTCCTCAGGAGTTTCTCTCTTATTGAACACTTTCTCTGCTTCCTTCAATAAGTCTGGCAAACCTAGCGCCTGTAAACCTTCCAGCCGCTGCAATTTGGTTCCTTCAGCCTCTCTAAAAATGCAGCGGGTGTTTCTTCCTTTCCCTGTATCACATTCCTCTTCCTTTCCCTGTATCACATTCCTCTTCCTTTCCCTGTATCACATTCCTTACCTAAGCCAAATTGGTAGGCCTTCTGGCGGCCGCTCGGAGACCCGCTAAGAGCAACTGGCGATAGAGACGTAGATGCTCCCTACCTTCAGGTGTATTGAAGTCCCAGTCTGGGCGGGTCAAGGGAAAAGCTGCATCGATGATATTTGGGAGTTGGGTTGGCCTCCCGTCATCGCCCGGAACCTGCTTCCGGGCCTCCAGGAAAACTCTCTGCTTCTCCTCTACTGTTAAGAGGGTCTGCAGGAGCTGCTGACAGTCGTCCCAAGTCGGCCTGTGAGTCACTAGGATGGACTCAATTAGGCCGGTCAAGGCAACAGGATCCCTGGGGAAAGGGGGGTTATGTTGCTTCCAATTATAGAGGTCTGAGGCTGAAAAGGGCCAGTACTGCAACTGGCGATTCGGCCCCTCTCTGAGCGGGAAGGCCCTGGACTCAATAGGGGGGCCATCCCGGCGGCCGCGGAGGCGGCCGGCAATGGGGGACGGGGCTGCGTCCTCTTCTCCAGCCCCATGGGTCCTGCGAGCCGAGGTGACTTCCGGATCTGCCACGGGCACGGCCGGGGACGCCGCCACCGGGGCGGTGGCTGGGGCCGCTTCGGCCGGCTCTCCAGGTGGTCCGGCTTGATATGGTGGTGGGTCCTCCGTCAGGAGATCTATAAGGGGGGTATGGGGGTCTGGGGGAAGGACTGGAGGCTTAGGAGTCTCCTTGTGAGGGAGCACGGGGTAAAGGGAGGAGTCCGGGTTGGGGGGCGCAGACGGCCCAGAGACTGGAGGGGGCTGTGGAAGGAAAGGCTTAACCCATGGAAATGGGTTCTCGACCAGTGATCCCCAGATGGCGATATATGGGACCTGGTCGGGATGCCCATAAGGGCTAGGGGCAAAAACCTTACCCTCCACCTGCGAAATAAGAGAGAGGTTAAAAGATCCCTCTCGCGGCCAGCCGACATTCATCATGACCCATTCGGCCTCGCAGAAGGTGATCCATTTCTTCTTCCTGACAATGACACCTTCATTGTTTCCTCGAGCCTTAACATCGGACCAGTGGTCCGTGGTTAGGCTCAGTGGGGTGGCGACAGCCTGTCCCATGGTGGTCTCTAAATAAAGAAGGGTTAGACACACAATGAGAAACAAACAGACAAGACAGACCACAGAACAAACAGACAAGACAGACCACAGAATTTTTCGCTGCGCGGCTCCGGCGTAAAACCGAAAGCAAAAACCCAGATGGGGACGCGGAGTGTTTGAATTCTCCGTCCCCTGCCAGTACCACGTATCCTTCTGATGCGTGGGTGGCCCCGAAAAACCGTGCCCCAGAGGGGACTTCAGATACCCGTGGAACGTCTTCCAGGGTTGCGGTGGGCGAAGTCCGAGCTCGTCAGCTCCTTCAGCCCCCACCGACTCAGACCTGACTTAGGACGTCCGACGAAAATGAAAGACAAGTAAACAGACTGAGACAATACAGACAGACAGTGGCTGGCCAGCTTACCTCCTGACAGTGGGTCGGTGGTCCCGAGGCGGGGGTCTCCGATCCCGGACGAGCCCCCAAATGAAAGACCCCCGAAGGTAGTCTTCCCTCTGGAGAGACCCTCGCCCAGAGATCACACCGAGACCACAAGTCAGATGCAAACAGCAAGAGGCTTTATTCCGGAACACGGGTACCCGGGGCGACACAGTCACTCCAGAAGCTCAGGAGGCTGGCGCGCCCACGGGCTGGAGTGGAGGGTTTTTATATGGTCGGGCAGCAGAAGGGCGGGTTTACAGGGTTCTGATTGGACGATTCATATGAGGCCATGGTTTACAGGGTTCTGATTGGACGATACATATGAGGCCATGGTTTACAGGGTTCTGATTGGACGATACATATGAGGCCATGGTTTACAGGGTTCTGATTGGACAATACATATGAGGCCAGGTTCAAGCTCAGGACAGCTCGTGGTTTTTCCCCCGAGCTCGACACACGCCTGCTGACTTGGCTCTTATCTAGGGTACAAGTTGTTTTTCTGACCTTTTAGTTCCCTGTTCTGGGGCCAGGTGGCCGACCGTAGATACCCTGTTTGTTCCTGTGCCCATGTCCTCTAACTGAACTTTCCCCGTACTTTTCAGGCCTTGCTCAAAATGGCGTTAGGTTAAGCAAGTATGCTGGGGCCTTTCACCTGTAACACATACAAAGTTCCACACTCGTCCCCAGGCTGTTTTGGCTTGCATATGTCCCTCCCCCGCAGCTACCTGCTCCCCTTAAAACGGGCAAGGATTTCCCCACCGTTTGCTGTTCTTCCTGTCGTGTCCCCCCCCCCCCCCCCCCCCCCCCCGAGAGATAGCCATAGCAGTTTAAAATTCCCCAATAAACCTTTCTATCCATGGCGTGGTCCAGTTCCGCGGTTTCACTGCGCACTGGCTTGCGCTTCTGAGTCCTCTTCCCTGAGCTCTGTGTCCAGCCCTCTTTTTATCCTTTGATTTTGTGTTTCTGAATCCCACAGAGTGACCTTCAATTCACCCTGTAGACCAGGCTGGCCTTGCATATGGGATCCTCTTGCCTCGGCCCGCCACAGTCGATGGATCACTGGCCTGAGTCAACAGGCTAGGCTTGTTGTTTTCAACACAGCCGCTGGAGGAGACCCAAGGATGAGGTCACTTTACCTGGAAAGGTGGGAAATCGGTTTGTTTTTAGGGCACATGGAGTCCCAAGTGAGGGGCCTCTGCCAGCTAACAGCTCAGGGAATGTAAGAAACACTCCTCCAAAGAAGCAGGTCTGCTTTTCTCGTTCTGGAATCCTGGTAGGGCTCAAGGCCCACCCTGACACTTTTCCTTTTGAAGCTACGTGGTGGTGTCTTTCTCTCGGATCGCACATGCGTGGGTGTTTCATGAGGTGCTGGGCGTGCTCTGGAAGGCGAACCAGCCCCAGGGCAGGCGGCCGGGTACCGCGGGGTAAGGACCGTGAGGACAGTACCTGAGTGGGCAAGTACGCGGCGGCGGCGGCGACCAGTAGAGGGCAGGCGACTTTGGAGACTGCAATCAGGCTGGAACCCGGTGATGGGAGGTCTGCGGCACGGAGCTGACTTAAACCGGGTTAATATGCAAGCTTGACGAGCACGGCCGCTGGCCTCGGTGTATTGTTTTGCTTTCTGGAATCCCAGGAGGTGGGCAGGCCACAGACGGGGGTGGCTGGCCAGCCCGGAGTGCAAAAGCACGTTCCAAGATTAGCAAATGAATTTACGGCCAGAGCTCCGCATGTCTCTGTGGCGCAATCGGTTAGCGCGTTCGGCTGTTAACCGAAAGGTTGGTGGTTCGAGCCCACCCAGGGACGCAGCCTTTTGCCTGCTTGGAGTCCTCCTTCCTAGGCATTTAAAATCGACTTAGGTTTATCATCCTCGCTCGTCCTTAGATAAATGGGGTGAAAGCATGCGATGATGCAAAGACTCAAGTTCCACGAAAGCCTCTAAACTGCGAATAGTTCAGAAAAAGTAGCTTTTCAGGGGAGCACGTGTTGGGGCCCCGGGACTTCAGGGCCACCGGCCACTGAGCCTTTGTTTGCTTGCCGCACAGTTTCATGCGTGTACACTACGCGTTCTGGTCCTCCGTCCGGTCCGCTCCCATTTCCCTCAGAATACGACTGCGCACAGATTACTCAGTTTCCCCAGCTGCAGAAGAGGGTTAACAGGAACACTTCCTTTACGAAGCCATCCAACATTTGACGAGAGGAGCTTGAGAAACATTTGAGCCAGAAATCAATGTTCATCAATCACTGGCCACCATAATTATTTTCAGCTGCAGCAGCGTTTTCATTATTTACCTCCGTCTTATCCCCCTCCTCACTTACCTTTTTCTTTTCTTTGGAGGTGGGGTGGTTCACTTTTTTTATTTTGAGACAGAGTTTTATTAATTGCTAAGCCTGCCCTCACACTAAATGTGTAGACCAGGCAGGCTTGTGACCTCCAGAGGTGGCTGGGGTTAGAGGCCCGCCCTGCCAGGCCCGGCCGTCCTCGGATGTGTGTAAAGGCATTGCCATGTTTCTCCCTAATTGCTAAGAAAGAAAGAAAAACAGCAGCAAAGTGCCGTAGACGGCCAGGTGAGAGGGGGTCAGACTAAAACTCCCCAGCCAGGCTGTCCCGTGAAATAAAAAATGTGCTGGGCTTGATAGCGCACCCCTTTAATCCCAGCACCCCGGAGGCCGAGGCAGGCACGTCTCTGTGAGTCCGAGGCCAGCCTGGGCTACAGAGTGGCCCTGTCTCCAAGGGGAAGAAAAGTGAAAAATCTGCAGTTGGGAGGCTGAGGCCAGAGGATCAGAGCCAGCCTGGGCTACATAGCAAGACCATGTCTGAACGCACACACGCTTCCACAATCATATCTCCACAGAAATAGAGCGCTGTCCTAGCCACAACTGTGACAAGCTCCGCCCTTGGTCAGCTCCAAGAGTGACTTCCAGTTCTTCACCAATTTTCTCGTCTAGCCTTGCTGCTCCCTCTCACCCTCTGGATAAAAATTACTAAGATTTCCTACTGGCGAGGCTGACACAGAAGCGCTCTATCTCCAAGGCTAGACTGGGCTGCAGAATGAGTTCAGGTCCAGCCTGGGCAAATTAGTGGACCTCTTTGTCTCCAATAAAAAGTAAAGAGCGTTTGGTGGGGTCGAGGACTTAGCTCGGTGGGAGAGAGTTTACCTAACGAACTTGAAAGCCCTGGATTTGGTCTCCAATACCCCCAAAGAAGGACCAAAAAAGGAAGAAGAAGGAAAAAAAAGTAACTCAGTAGTGGAGTGTTTGCCCAGGAAGACAAAGAGAAAGAAAAGAAAAGCTATGGCATGGTAGAGCCGCTCCTACAGTTTGTCCATGTGGCAGAGAACCAGAAACCAGCGGGTCCGAGGGAGGGCAGGTCTGCTCTGCCGGCCACAGGCTGGAAGCATCCATCCACACCGCAGACCGAGGCCTCTGAGTCTCCCCTGCTCTCCCTCACCTCCCTTCGCAGAAGCTCGCACAGTCTTCTCTTGGTTCCCACTGTTTTGAAATGAAATGTCCTAGGTCCACCCACCCCGCAGAGCCCACAGCGGCCCGTTCGTTAAAAGAAGTTGAATCTCCTGGATATCATTCCCAGCATGCTTGTGTGTGGACCCGTGAAGGTGTACATTTTCTTGCCAACACCTTTTGATACAAATAATTGCCTATTTTCAGTGGCCCTCGTTTTGGAATTTTCACTTAATTTTATGTATGAATGAACAGTGTAATTTCCCAAAGATCAGGGAACAAGTGCTAAGTCCAGCTAAGGTCTTCTTAGAGCAGGGTCCTGGTGAGATGGAGGGAGGGATGGGGGGAAGCCGTGGGCTCTGTGGGCTTCTCCGGGCAGAGTCGCGTGGAACAGGACCCCAGTTCTCCCACGACCCTGAAGCCGCCGGCTGGATTCTGTTCCTTTAACGAGTTTGGCGTAAACGGGGCGAAGTTTTGGAGACATTGGCGCGTTTATTTTATCATCGCCATCCTTATCATTATTATTATTATTAATGGTTATTTTGGTGTTGTTGGTTTTTTTTTTAATTGTTATTGCTTTGTTACTTTTTTCAGACAAGGCTTCACCTTCACCTTCTAAGACCACTTTACTGAAATTTGAAACAACAGTGACTTCAGTGTTCAATGAAAATGTAGATGCTCATGATTCTGTTCCCACCTAAGGAGAGAATAAAAACCACAAGGGGTAGAGATTTAAAAACAAAAAAATAAAAACAAAAAAACACCCACAAAAGGAAGCGCCCAACGTGGGGCTCGAACCCACGACCCTGAGATTAAGAGTCTCATGCTCTACCGACTGAGCTAGCCGGGCGTTAGGGCTCTCGCCAATCCTACGCCTATATAACCTTGTTGGGTAATGGCGCTCTCGTCCCTCTGGCTCCTTGGCGTCAGCAAACTTCTAGCTCCAGGATCAATGGATTTTGCCTGAGGAACCTGAAGTCCAGAGAGCGGGGGACTAGAGAGAGCCAGGCGGACCTCTCTGTTTCCTCCAGTTCCTTCTGAACGGAGTCGCCCGAGAGCGGGTGTCTGGGCGCCGAGGACAGCCGACCGAGCGCGGGGACGCGGAGGGCAGTCCTTGCGGCGACAGCGGGGTGGGGGGGAGCGGGCGCGCCGAGACTCGTCTTCCCGGGAGCTTGAGCTTTGCTCTGGTGCCTTTTCGCGGCTCGACCTCAGTGATGGGGGCTCGGGGCGTGAGGGAGCCTTACCGGGAAAATAGTTCCTCTTCACTCCTCCTCGGCGCAAGTTTCTTTCTGAACACCCAGTTTGTGCTGCCCGAGAAACAAGGCCAAGGCCATCCGGTGTAAAATTCACCGAGACACACTCGTATAGCATCCGGGTGTAGTATTTGCTGCAGAGGCAGGCGCTCGGCTCCCGACGTGTTTGCTTTTCCGACCGGTAGAAGAGGCGCCAAGTTTCGGGGTCACGGGAGAACTTCGCCCCTGCGCTGGGGAAGGCCGGAAGAGCCTCCTCTGCAGCCCTGGTTCTTCCCGAGAGTTCAGGTTCCTCTTGTTGGGTGAGCCGCGTGGAATTATTTCAGTGACTCGGTCTTTCCGCAGAGGCAAAATTAGAATTTTGTTATTTTAAGTAGTGCATAAAAGAGCTGCAAAGGGACGGTACTACTACATGCCGTGACTCGGATTCGAACCGAGGTTGCTGCGGCCACAACGCAGAGTACTAACCACTATACGATCACGGCGAGCCACCGAGCGAGCAGCGGGTTGCGGGCTCAATTTAATGGCCTTTCAATGGGAGTGCCCTGCCCGTGGCGTCTGATTGATTTATTAGCCTAGGTGGCTGCGACGTCAAAAGTCTGGCTTTGTACACCTTGACGCTTCCGGGATGCTGGCGCGGGCATCAATTCCTCACCTCCTAGTCCCTCTCCCCGCGATCTGGGATGAGAAACAACCGACGCCCGCCGCACCGACCCACTTCGGTTATTCCTGTCCAAAGAAGCAAACCACCTCGCAGGCCGCCCCAGACGATATTTACACTCCAGCCAGGGCTCTGGAATCGAGGGTTTTGCTACCAGAATGGTGCAGTTGGAAAAGGAGCGGAGCTGGCGCGCTGAAGGAGCCCTTCTCCCGGGCGGTGTTGTATGTCTTCACGAGTTCCCTCCCCAACCGAAGGCGGAGCCGCCTCTCAAGTTTCCGGGGCGAGCAGCCTCCATTTCGGACACTACGGGACCCCGAGTCTGCGACGCCATCCGCGGGCCCCGCACACCCGCACGGCTTGTGGCACGACCACCTCGCCGCCTTGTCCCTACACCAGCTCGGAGAGGAAACTCCGAGGCTTGGGACCCGAGGATCAACACAAAAATTAGACGATGCGTTGGCCGGGAATCGAACCCGGGTCAACTGCTTGGAAGGCAGCTATGCTCACCACTATACCACCAACGCTCGCTGACCGGGTCCCCGGTTGGTTTTCTTATGAAGAGTGCAACAACAAGTTCTCTGGCCAACGACTTCACACAAAGAGAAAAAGAAACTCTGGAACTCTAGGATTCGTCCCGTGGAACTTACGGTAGTGGCTCTTGATCTCCAAGTTTAAAGAAGACCAGTTAGTTCCTTTTACCGTCTGAAGGGAGCTTCTGGAATCGAGTGATCCAGGAAAAGGCTCTGCTGTGGGTTGTTTGTGGGAGACTTTCTTGAGGACAAATGCAGAAACGGTTGCGCTGAGACCTGCGCTTAGCGCCTTAGATAGATGTTGTCGATCTGCTCACTATTCGCCTGGAATACGCCGCCTTCTCTTCTTTACAAAAGTATAGGATCTCATTATGGCGTCTCGCTTTAATTTTCATTTATTTTATCACTATCGAAACGGATCGTGTTCCATGGTTTGGCAATTATTTACACCAAGTGATTTGCATTTACTGAGTTTTATGTTTTGCCTGGTTTTTCTATTGAGTATGTTTCCCCTACTGATTTATGTCAGACCAGCATTTTCCTTTTAATACTAATTCTGAGAAATTTTTTAATAGGCAGAAGTGTTCTTTTATATTCTCAGGCTCATGAGTTTTGTTCTTTATGATCTCTGCCTTGCTTCTACCTTGAAAAAGTCATTCTAGCCAAAAATCAAGACGCTTCTTCATGTTTTCTTGTAGCTTTATAATGTTTCTTGTTCTTTAATGCACGGTGGTATGAGATACCAGTTCCATAACTAGACGTTTATCCAGAGGAAATAGCTAAAGATGTTATGCCCAGATCACGAGGATCCCCCAAAAGACCGAATCCCACATGTAAAAGCAAAGAGCCTTTATTCCAAGCTTGGTTCCTCTGTCCGACTCAGCGGTGAGAGCAGAGAGCCCTGAGCTCAGGTGGGGTAGAGTTTTTAATCATAGCAGAGGTTGGGGTGAAGGAGTTTCCAGGACCCTGATTGGCTGACAATTGTCTAGGGGTATCTGTAAAACAAAAAATAGAAGGTGTGTGCTAGACTCAAGGACATCTGGCCATCTTATCTAACGGTTGGAATGTTTGGAGTGTCAGGTGCTTCCTCACCCCTGGGTGGATCCCTGGGTGGTATCAGCTTAAGGCTTTTCCTGGATCTGGGTGTTGCCTGCCAGTAAGCCTGTCACAGAAGCTGTGTCTAGGCCCCTAAGCCTGTCATGGCTGCTGTGTGGTCAAGCTATTTTTGGGCCCTTTCACATTCCCCCCTTCACAAGTGCCAATAATAGGACTCAGTCATGAGTCCTACCTGTCCAGGGATGCACGGGTATTGGGACCTATGAGCCATTAGCTAACAGGTTTTTCCAGGGCAGTGGCACATATATCTATTGCCATTTTTAAGGCCCTGTAGTTCTGATCTTTGAGTACAACCAGACTATGATCTTATAGAATACCTCTTTGGTTCTGCATGAAAAAGGTCAAGTGTCTTATTGCAGAACAATTTTAGTTAATAAATTTATCTATTGACAACTCTGAATCTATTTTCCTGGTATGTCAATGGACATTATAGTTGGCCATCTTGCCTCTATGCCAAGGAGTTTCCTTTTGACACAGCATTTCAGCCTTTTCTGAACAGGGAACATGGGATGACATATTCTCTTCTGAAACTGCTTCGAGCTAGCATTGGGGCACCATTGTCAGGGCCCCCCAATAATCAAAGGCTGAGTAAAAGGGGCATCTCTCAGAAGCATGTGGCTATCTGATCGTGCGGAGACAGGGAACAATCACATTGGTTGAACCGGTCCACATTAGCCTTTAGCAAGTCCAGAGCTCATAGTCATCCAGAGCAGTGTAGTCAGCAACTGAAGCTTGGAGGTGTCTGCCAGCCAAGTGGA